CGCCTATCTGCAAGAGATGTTCGCCAACGCACCCAATCCCAAGGAGGACAAGAAGTCGGACTTCGCCGAGCTGGACGAATCCGTGTCGTGGGAGAGCATACAGACAATGGCTCAGAAGATGGGCCGAAACAAGGACTACGACATGGACGTAATCATCACGCTGCTCACTTTCCTGCTAAAACTCTGGAACGACCAGATCGCCAACTACAGCAAGCACGAGAAGATGTCCACCAAGGTTAAGATGACCCGCGTCATCTACACGCAGACCAAAGAGTACGTGAAGCCGCTGTTTCGCAAACTAAAGCACCACACCCTGCCCGAGGACATCCTGGACAGTCTGAGGGACATCTGCAAGCACCTGCTCAACCGCAACTACATCACCGCCAGCGATGCCTACTTGGAGATGGCCATCGGCAATGCCCCGTGGCCCATCGGCGTGACCATGGTGGGAATCCACGCTCGTACGGGTCGCGAGAAGATCTTCTCCAAGAACGTGGCCCACGTGATGAACGACGAGACGCAGCGCAAGTACATTCAGGGGCTCAAGCGACTGATGACCAAGTGCCAGGAGTACTTCCCAACCGATCCCTCCAAGTGCGTGGAGTACGTAAGCAAAAAGGATCGCGAATAAACTCAAGCTTTATGTTAGTCATAATAGTAATATCAATACCAAGTGTTTAGAGCAATGGTGGATCCGGAGTAGTCGTAGTCTTACTTCTTTCCCAGTTCCGCATAGCGCTGCGAGGACTTCTCCACTGCGTTTATTAAAGTAGCTCTGAAAGAGAGGAGCTATTGCATACAAAGATCGGGTAAACTGTCCTAGTGCCACCCACCTGAGGTTTCCCTTTTCCAGCTCGTGAACGCCCACGATGGTGGAGCCGCCGGGCGAGCAGACCTCGTCCCGCAGCACCGCCGGATGCTTGCCGGTGAGGAGGACCGTCTTAGCCGCTCCCAGCAGCGTTTGGGCCGCAAACTGTATGGCCATCTGGCGCGGCACGCCCTGCTTGACTCCGCCATCGGCGAGTGCCTCGATGATGGTGTAGACAAAGGCCGGACCGCATCCCGCCACCCCGGTGACGGCGTCGATCATGGTCTCTGGCACCTGCTGGGCCAGACCCAGGGCGTTGAGCATCAGATGAATCTTCTCCAGGTCGTGATGGGAGACGCGAGCGTTGCCGGTGTACACGGTGCAGCCCTCGCCCACCTGCATGGAGGTGTTGGGCATGGTGCGAATTATCTTCACATCGGCGCTGCCCATGAAGCTAAACTCCTCCTGAAGCGTTTTGAGATTGGTCCCAGCCAGCACGGACACAATTAGCTTGCTGGCGTCCTTGGCCGACGGCACGTGCTTGTACTTGAGCTGGGCGGCGCAGGGCGAGAGCATGTGCGGCTTGACGCAGATGAAGACGATGTCCGTGTGCTCCAGGACTTCGCAGTTGTCATCACTGGTGACGGCTCCCAAGTCCCGCCAGCGCTGCAGGTTCTCGATGTGCGGACCGGAGACCAGCACCTGGCTGGCCTTCACAATCCCGCAGCGCACCAATCCGGATCCAATGGCAAAGGCCATGTTTCCGCCCCCGATGAAACCAATCCGTTCGTCCAGCTTGGCCATGTTTTAGGTAATTTAGATGCCTTTGCCCGCTACGCACAGGCCCTTCAGATGATTTCAAGCGATTGATTGATATTAGATAACTTTAAAGCACCTCGAGCTTGTCCTCTTGTCAGTTATTGAGTTGGCTGGATTTTTATCGCTCCTCTAATCAATAACAGCTGCCGGTTGCAGTGGCGTAGCCAGAAAACATTTTTGAGTGGGGGTCAAACCTCAAATAAGCTTCTGTTTCTAGATTTTCTACTACAAGATCTATGAATAGAACTCTAGTTGTTTTTAAATATGAATTAAAAATAAAACTAGTCGCAAAATAATACACAGAAAATAAAGTTCCCAAACCAAAATCTCTTTCTTACGCCCCTGAGTTGTGGTGTGACCATGTGTTTGATGCCTAAAAAACAAAAATACCAGATAAGCTTACCATTCTTGCAACTTCAATTTGTTTGTTATGATCTATTCCGCCAATAGCTTCCCAAGAATTGGGTGAACATAATCGTTGCCCGCTGATCTCCATTTCACAAGAATGCGGCGTCACTTACAGTGGAGCATTAAACAAGTGGGTTAATTGATCATCCAGCTGAAACTCTTATAAACCAGGATTTTTTAACAGTTAACGGCCAATTATGCAGATGGCCAATTGTCTCCACGCCGGGTTACGGAGCAGGCTTTGGAAGATGCCCTTCGCTGGAAGACCCTGAATGCCTTTGTACGCCTCACACCGGAACAGGCCATCCAGCAGGCCCAGGACTCGGAGGAGCGCTATCAGCAAGGAAAGCCAAGTGGCTGCCTAGACGGAGTTACCATTGCCATCAAGGATAACTTTTGCACGAAGGATGTCCACACCACCTGTGCTTCGCGGTAGGAAGGAAAGGAAGTAAATAAAACAGAATGTTATTTGTTATACTCCTTGTTGCCAGGATGCTGCAGGATTTTGTGCCGCCCTACGATGCCACTGTGTGCTCCAGACTCAAACAAGCTGGAGCTGTAATTCTGGGAAAGACCAACATGGATCAGTTTGCCATGGGCGCCGGCACAGTGGACTCCCTGTACGGACCGACCAAGAACATCTGGAGCGAGGACCTCGACCAGGACAACTGGCGCATCGCGGGCGGCAGCTCTGGAGGTTCTGCATCTGCCGTGGCCGCTGGTCTGTGTTATGCGTGAGTACTTCTTGTTTATGTTTTGACCACCTAACCTCAAATGCAGAGGGCAGGGAAAAGTAGCATATTTAAGAGAAATTAATCACCAAAGAACGAATTGCCAGCTCTGTCCACGCCGAGACTTGCAATTTTATTAACGGGCAACGATGCGGATACGCACTGGCCGCACTTCTCATTCGCATTACATAACAGACTAAGGATAGGGGCACTAAATGTTTAGATGATGATCTCCGTGTTCTCCAGATCCTCTTCCGAGGGCAGCGTAATGTTGGCGGGGTCCACGTAGTTGGGGCTGACCAAATCCACGCCGGCCTGCTCGCGGCGGCGCAGCTCCAGGAAGCCCTCGCGTTGGGCCCAGTCGCGGAACTGGGTGTCGGGCAGGTAGGCCCAGTAGAAGGTGCCCCACACCAAGCACAGTGTCACCGTGACGAAGAACGTCGACTTGGTGGCCTTGCGGTCCTCCACCTGGTCCTTGTAGTCGAACCCATAGCTCTGCCAGTTCTTGGGACTGGGATTGGCGAAGTCCTCCGTTGAGAGCGAGGCGGGGGCCGCTATGGTCTCATCCTTTTTCGGGGACGTCTTGATGGCACGCACCACGGCCGCCTGGTTGGCCACCAGGGAACGCTGCAGCGCCACGGCGCGGCTGGTCAGACGGATGAGCGCAGACATCGCTTCGGGGGCAGCAATTCAAGTCGCAAATTTCGTAAATAATCGAGTTTTCCCTTGATCGCTTGACTTCTGACAGCTGCGCAGTGTGACCGTTCGTCGCACTTTGTCAGCTGGCCGGTGGCGCTGCCCACTCGATGCGGTATTCTTTCGGTATTTAATAAATTTAAATTTTTTAAATTTGAAAAATACTTGTTACTTTAAGAGAAAATCTATAGAACTCTGTGACAAGGCACTTGCATTTTAATGAATTTATAATAATAAATAGTATGCAATGAAATCGTGATTACCAGGATCACAGGTATCCAAAATTTGATATGTGATTTACACAGCGAACCCGAAGTAATATTGAAATAACGACTACGTAGTCTTAATTTTGAAATATCAAATTAAAAAAGTTGTATTGCCCATTTGGTTTTGACAATGTACATTTGCATTAGGGCACCACGTTATTTAACATTGTTTTATAAGGATATTTAAAGCTGAATTGGGTTTTCTTTATAAGTAATTTTGAATTAATCTTTTTTGGAATTACAAAATGTTCTAATTTATCAATTTATATTTACATTTAAGTGCAATTGGTTCGGACACGGGTGGCTCTACGCGGAATCCCGCTTCCTACTGCGGTGTGGTGGGTTTAAAACCGACCTATGGACTGGTATCCCGCCACGGCCTCATCCCGCTGGTCAACTCAATGGATGTGCCTGGCATTTTTACCCGCTCCGTCAGTGACTGCGTTGCGGTACTGAATGCAGTCGCTGGACCTGATCGATTGGACTCCACAACCATCAGGCAGCCGTTCAGAAGGCTAAAACTGCCAGAGATCGGGCAAATCGACTTGAGCACTGTGCGCATTGGGATACCAAAGGAATACCACTGCCAGGGACTCTCCGCCGAGGTGCTGGAAACGTGGTCCAAGGTAGCCGATCTTCTGGAGTGCAGCGGAGCCTCCGTGCGGCAGGTTTCGTTGCCAAATACGGCGGCAAGTATATTCGTGTACTCCATCCTCAATCAGTGTGAGGTGGCCAGCAACATGGCCCGGTACGATGGCATAGAGTACGGCCACCGGGCCGCCGACGAGCGCAGCACGGAACAGTTGTACGCCCTTTCCCGTGCCGAGGGATTCAACGAGGTGGTGAAGACACGCATTCTCACGGGAAACTTCCTGTTACTAAGGAAAAACTACGACCACTACTTTGAGAAGGCGTTGCGGGTGCGCCGCTTAATCGCAGAGGATTTTGTTAAAGTGTTTGAGGCTTCGGCTAAAGAGGAACGCGTGGACATCCTCCTGACACCGACTACGCTCACAGAGGCCCCACTGTACAAGGAATTCGCCTCGCTGACCAACAGAGACCAATGCGCAGTGCAGGATTTCTGCACTCAGCCAGCCAACATGGCTGGAGTTCCCGCTGTGTCCATACCCATTCGATTGTCTCGGGCTGGACTGCCATTGAGTCTTCAACTGATGAGCAACAGCCTCAATGAGCAGTTACTGCTCACCGTGGCGCGCTGGATCGAGGCCCAGGTGGGATTTGACAGCCTGGAGCACAGACAAGAGTACCAGGCCAGTTTGTAATTATTATGGTCTTTAATAAATTCTTTTTACCATATAAAGCTTTTTCTGTTTTCCGAGATGACAAGATGGCTTAAAAACTATACAAACTTTGCGCTGCGTATCAATCCATCGCTGCTTGCTATATACACAATGTTATTGTCGCCACAGCACATGCTGTTCACCCAGCTGCCCACGTCCACCTCGCCCAGGGCTCTTGGCTGTACGGATCCCAGATCGGTCCATGCCTTCACCTTCTTGTCATATCCGCCGGAGTACAAATAGGTCTCATCCCCGCAGATGGCGTTAACGATCCACTCGTGACAGTCCTATAACTCAATCAAAGATTAATTTAAATATTTTTATTTGGACCTAAAAGAAGTCCTAAAAAGCAGACTCACCGGTATGTGCCAAACTTGGGCATACTGTTGCTGCGGAAGATTGTTGACCAGCTGTAGACCCATCCCAGATCGATCGGGGAAGGCGAGGAAGCTGCGTTTCCCATCCACCAGTGGGCCAAGAAGATGAAGTGGCGACTTGCCTGCGATCACCGCCTTGTTGCTGTATTTGCCGGACTTGCCCTCAGCCACCTGGGAAACCACCACGTCCAAGTCGCGAACTGTGTAAATAAGTTTCTGTTCGCCGGCTAGCGACTTGACCTCCTCGACCAGGTTGTATTTGAAGAGCATGCGGTCGTTGCTCCAGGTGGTCACCACGCCCTTGTCATCGCCCGTGTAAAGCACAGATCCGTCGCAGTACAACGCCTGGATGGCGTTGTCGCAGCGGAACAGCTCCTGCACCGATTCCTCGTCATAAGGAGGCAGCATGAAGTGCACCTGGCCATCGCAACTGCTTGAATATACTTTGCCGTGCTTGTTGATGGCCATGCAGTATATGTAAGCCTCGTGAGCGTTCACAGTGGCCAAGAGTTGCAGCTCCGGTGACCAGATCTGCAAGGGGATGGGTCACGGTCACCAAGAAGGAGAGTTAAGGGGGCGCCAAGTACCCACTCTGATTTTGCCGTCAGCGCCTCCGGAGAACAGCTGCCCATCGAAATACGCTACGCAGGTGGCATCCCCTTCGTGTCCCTCGGAGGACGTGTGTTCGATGCGGGCGTTGTATGCCATTTGGCAATTCGGAGCGAACTGAGCATATCTCATGCAATCCGTCGTCTTCCGACATGATCGACATACGTTTATATAGCATGGAAGTGCTCTCTGTGCTGCTATAAATAAAATCACAGAACACTGGGTGCGATAAGTTATTTGCAACTGTTTAAACTACAGACAGAGAACCCCTCATTAATTAAAAATTTTTAACTCCCTATCATAAACGCCGATAATATACTAATTTTAAAATATCAAACAAATACACCTCAGAACGAGGTAAAAAAAATCGCGACGATCGAACTTCCAGCATTATGCATGATATGATAAAAGATATTAATAAGATATTAGGGCCACAATATATAAAATAAATATATATATATATGTATATTTGTCTGTAAAAAAGGTATGGAATTAGAACTGCAGGTTTTTGGTCTATATATAATATACTACAGACCAATTTTTAAATGCAGATTTTAAGAGACTTAAGCCATAAGACTTTAAAGATATACCCCTTCAGAATGGGATGCCTGTAAGAAAAGTTATAGAATTAAATCTTCAGCTTGTTGGCCACTTTAATGCAAAGTCATTTTTCGGAATTTTAGAAAGGGGGTACATTATCAAAATTCAAAAAAATGGACTTGATATTACAAACCAATTTTTAAATGCAGATTTTAAGAGACTTAAGCCGCAAGACTTTAAAGATATACCTCTACGGAATTGGATGTCTGTAAGAAAATTTATAGAATTAAAACGGCAGCTTGTTGGCCACATTTCTGCAGTCATTTTTCGGAAATTTAGAAAGGGGGTACATCATCATCATGTTGTTTTATAATAAACCTTTTATTTAAATATGAAGTAGAAAGTGGCACATCGGCACTAGTAACAGCAGTCATCAATTATGCCCTTAAGTTGTAGCTAATTATTTAACGTTAGACCATTGAAGTTAATATCGTTGGCGGAATCCTCTTCGATGGAAAAGTTGAACTTGAACGGGCTTCCGGAACTCTCCTGGAAAGTGGGCTGCAATTTGGGAGCTGGCTGGGACTCCTTTGTACTCGATTCTTCGGCGGGCAAGGAAAAGTCGAAGCGGAAGTCCTTTCCAGATGTTAGAAGTGCAGATTTTTTCACAAAGCTCGACTTTTTGGTTGTCTCATCCGTGGGAGTAAATTTGATTTGCTTGGCGGCCAGAGCCATTTTTTGCTCCTCCTGTTGCATCTTCGACCGGTAGTCGCCCATGGAGAGCTTCATCACCTGGCGCTTCCTTATCAATGGGGCTTTTGGGCTTTTTAGGATCTTCAGGTTTTTGGCGGTATCCTCGGCCGCCTTCTGGCTTAGTTTTCCACTGTCGAGGGCATTCTGCAACTGCTCCACGCACCAGCAGAGCTCCACCTCCAGTTGGGTCACCACGTCCTCCTCGACTGATGGTTCCGCCACCGGTGTGGGCTTCTTAGCTGGTCCCTGAATTGGTGGTGGCTTATTTATGGACTTGGGAGTTCGTCGTTTGTGCATATCTGTGGATTTTAATGTTTACAAAATGTGCTCGCGAAATCAGTGTGACCATGGAAAAGTTTCAAACATGCCATGGGATTTTTAATATATACCATATTCAATTATTAAATGAATTTAACAATTTTATTAACAAGTTCGTTGCCTTAAAAATAAATAACATATTATTTCCAAAAGTATTTAAATAATAGAATAATTTTATTATTATTATTATTTTTTTTCTAACAAATTCATATTTTCAAAATCTGGCAACTCTGTTTTACCAGCTGTTTGGTCTGCATCTATTGCAACAAATTGTAAAACTTACATTTTAAATAAGAAAAACCATTAAAAGACAGCCGAGAGAAACAAAAAATATGTCTCAAGTCGCTTTCTTGGACAACCTGCTGAGGGAGTACCTTGTTTTCCGTGGATTCTCTGGAACCCTAAAGGCCCTCGACTTGGAGCAGCGCACGGAAAAGGATCAGCACTTTCGGGCGGAGAGGATTCTGGAGCAATTCAATAATGCTGTGCAAACTTCCGACCTTCAGGCTCTTAGAAGTCTGTGGTTCCACCTGGACAACAACATATTTTCCAAGCTGGAGCACACCTACGCCGTGGGTGAGTTCTCCTCCAGCATGAATGCTACAGCTTAACCATGACGAATCCCCTCCCCCCCCAGCGGTCAAGAAACTGGAGAACAGCCTCCTAAAATACTACCTGGTTACCGCCTACAGCAGCAATCGTGCCGAGAAGGTGTCCGAGTTCTTCACCAAGCTGGCAGGCGAGCTGCAGCAGCAGAGCGAATGGAAGGATTGGTTCTGTGGGTTGAGATTGCAGATTCCGCTGGCCCATGTAGTACTCACAATGCCCCTTTCCTTGCAGATTTCCCCTTCTGCAGGAACGCCGAGGAGTCGCCCACCTTCGCGCTGTTCTTCACCAAGCAGTGGCAGGACACGCTGCTCCTGTCGCTGCGCAACTTCCTGACCACCGTCTACCAGTGCCTGCCGCAGCCCACATTTGTGCGGGCGGAGCAGGAGGCGATCCACATGCAGCGCCTCAGCGAGGACAACGCCGGACTGCGCACTCGCCTGCTCAGCCTGCAGCAGGAGCTGCACCAGTTGACCCAGCAACAGCCGGGAACTTCCGCCGCCGGCGGTTCCCTTAGCGGAGGAGATGGTGCCGCCCGGCGACGCAGCGTCTACCGCCAGCAGCAGAGCCTCAGCGACATCCTGCCCTTCGACATCAGTCCGCCCGGCCACATCGTGGACGACTTCTGCATCATTGCCTCCGAGGCGAACAGCGTCAGCCAGGCAAGCGACGCCCAGGCGCGTGGCCTCAAGCTGCTCATCCGTAACATCGGATCCGGCAGTTCGCCTGTGATGGGACGCAAGGATCAGACTGCCAGCTCCCTGGGCGACAAGTCCACCAAACGCAGGTCTGGTAGTGTGGGACGTAGTTGGATTTAAAAGATGAGTAATCCGTACTGGTTCGATTCTAGTGCAGCATTTTATTATCAGTGAGATAATTGTAATTAAGATCAAAGCCTGGTCGAACAAAAGCTTACAATAATTTGCAATAGGCGAGCAAATCCCTAATATACTTTATAACTCCATTATATATTTAAATTATCTAAAACATTTTTAACCGAATCAAAAAAAGCTACATTTCCAAATACTTTAGTTTAGTATGCATTATATATATTGCTATTAAAGATAAAATTTTAAAATAATGTATTCTTGTTTTTTATACATTTAAAATATTTATATTTTCCCTGTACCTTTAAATGCGCACCAAAAACAAATAATTTGGTAGAGTTATGATGAGCTAATAAATTTTTGAATGCAGCTTAAATAAAAAATTTCGATGTATCCCAAAAACAGAGTACCATCTAGACAAATAGACCCTCAAAAAACAAATGCCAAGTGCTGCGAAGTGTGTTATCCAATGTGGTTTTTTTTTTATTTTTAAGCGATTCTCATCAGTTCGTAGACGTACAAGAGTTGTACTACAAAAGAAAGAGCAATGCGTGTGGCGTAATACATAATTGCAATAAATAACGTAAAATTACAAATAAATATATTGTAGGTGTATAGACGACGATTCGTATTCGTGTATAAAACATCTCCGTTTATACAAGCAGCACAATTTAAAAAATACAGTTTATTGTATAAGGTGTTGTGTATATATATATATAGTGATATATGTATATGTTGCATAAAGTAGCATCGCTTCTGACTCGTTTCCGTCCGTCAATAAATGCAGTTTCGGCTTGGCTACGGAAGGGAATTGCTCATTGCTCATGGCTCATGGCTCATCTCGATTATGGGGTCGTTTCTTATGGAATATGTATTATCGCTGGCTTAAGCAGTGGGTTAGACCCACTCTACAGCGCCGTTTCGAAGGAGGGCAGCTGGGGATTGGCCACTGGAGCTGCCACGTACTTGTTGCCTTCGGCGCCAGCCCCTCCAGCTCCTCCAACTCCTCCTCCAGCTGCTCCATTTGTCCGGGCAAAGCTGGGCTTCAGCTCGCCGCGCATAAAGTTGTTCTCCTCGGTCTGCAGAAAGAAGTTCCGCTTGAGATCGAAGCTGGATGGCGCTGTGGTCTCGCCCGCCTCCGAACTGGCCCGCGATCCGCCGCTGGTGTTGGACTGATCCTCCTCGCTGTTCGCCTCCGGAATGGTGGTGGACATGATGTCCGTTCGCGGCGGTGCCGCTGCAGCGGCCACCACATTCACGGGACCCCGCATCTTGGGGGCAAAGGTCTTGGAGGGCGATCCGAACTGACCCTGGCGCAGCATCCTCCGGTTGGCGAACGTTTTGGGTGAGCCACTCAGATCCAGCAGCTTGAGACTGCTGTTGATCGTGGGCTTGCTGCCAGTTGATGGTGCTTTCTGCCCAGCAACAGAGATCTTCGGAGCGGGAACAGAAACGGGGCTTGGTGTCGCCTGGGTGGACTTCTTTAGCAGCTCCACGGCGGACACCTTCCGCTGGACTGGACTCGCCTTGGCGGACTTGGCCAGCAGCAGTTTCTTGAAGTCCATCAGCGTGGTCTTGCTCTGGCCAATGCGGTCGGCACAGGTGTTGAGCCGTTCGGGGGCATCGTCGCTCCAGTTGCGCGACGGCTGCTTCATGGGTGGCACTTGGCTGGTATCCGCATCCCCCTCGCCGCCCCTCGTGGGCGTGGAGGTTAGAAAGGCGCCGGCTCGGTTCCTGGGCACGATTGGCGATATGTTGCTCCTCGAGCCCTCGGCAGCGCTCGCCGCTGCAGCCGCTGGTCGTGGCAGGCGGTCGGCCCGGCGAATGGGCGTGGCATAGAGATCATCCCGGCAGGTCACATTGCCAGTGGGCTGTGGCCTGGGCTGGCTGCGACGACTCTGTAGCGTCCAGTAGATGGGCGCACTGCGCTGGAAGGGCGTGGCAGTCGCATCTTCCTTTGGCTGGGTGCTCGGTGCTGGCTGCACTTGCTCATAGATATTAGAGAAACGTTGATACCCTGCGGATGGAAGAGCGGTGTAAAGTGGATTAGGCTCTGGAGTACTCAACACCAATACTCCTCTGGTGGTTAGCAAGCAGGTTCAAGTGCGGATCGTTAGGGTTATCAAGCAAAACAAGCGGTTCCATACGTACCTTTGGCGTTTCGGGGTGATCTTACCTGGGAATCCCCCCAAATCCCAATGAGAGCAGAGCGAATATTTACATATGTATGTATGCCAAATGGTGCACGGGTGCATGGATGCATGGGTGCATGGGTGCTGGGATGCAAATGCGAATGTGGTTTTTGGGTGGGATGGTTGGACTATAATTGATGGGGACTCCTTTACCGCAGACCAAATGCCAATGATTAATGTCAATGCCGAATTTTCGTTTCTTTTCGTTTTATTCGCTTATTCGCTTATTTGTTTCAACTATTACTTACGGATTTCGTTAATGGAATGTGGGTTGATCTTAGCCAAAAACTTAACTGTTTGGGCCATGTGCTAATCTTTCAAACTACTCGTGCCACTCTACGGATCATTCGTTAGTCGGAGGAGGTGTGCAAAAAACTACTACTACACTAGACTTTAACATAGACAAACACACAAGCAACTGGTTAAGGAAAGGCAATAGAAGTCTTTTGCACACCTCACAATCCGTCCGTTTCGCAAATGAGTAGGTAATTGAAAATGAAAAACAAACTCAAAAAATTAGCAACATAGTCGTGGGCGAACATAAACTTAAGTACTAATTGTGGTCGTTGATGTACAAGACGTGATCGGTGCAAAAAACTTTACAAAATGTACAATAATCATGTGTTGGTTTATGTTAATTATAATTAGTTACAAACGTATTTATCAGTAAACAATGAACATTTATTAATCACTAGGGCTAGGGTTAAAAACACACACTCATCAAACAAAAGGAGTTAAATTTGGCGGAAATAAATTACAAAACAAAAGGTATTATAACTTTGTTTGGATAAACACACGGTTAGCTTATACTTGTACAAGTGTGTAGTTCTGTATAAAAGTTGTGTATTTAGTCTTGCAAGCCAGCTGGTTATTTAGTAATATGGTAAGTTTCGGGTAACTTTCAAAATAGGATAGCAGCGACTTTGAGCAGCATATCAAGTGTGGGATTGGACATTGAACCCCAGGACAGGACAAGCCCCCAACACCCCACCCAACTTGGCCAATTGAACACGCACGCGTCTGGCCAAGTGCATGCAACTTTAATGAGGGCCACACACTAGGTGGCTCGAGGGCCGGCTCCTTTGCTCCTTTGAGCCGTGCCAATCTCGGCAATTACTGTGTAGTGTCTGGAGGTCTAAAGAAGAGGGGCAACAGAACAGGACTAACTACCATATCTCGGTAACATCGAATTTCTGCAAAATGCGCTGGCGACGGTGGCCGTTCTCGTCGCTGGGCAGGATGATTTTGAACGGACGCAACAGCACACTGTCCACAAAGGACTTGTGGTACTTTTGTGCAGGCAGGGACAGAGGTGGGGCAAACCCGACCTCATCGTCCTCTGAGGCGGATGCAGACTCGGAGTCTGAGGCATTTTCGTCTGGCTTTTGTTCGGGTGCAGCCAGGGCCAAAAGGGCGGGTGAGTCATCGAAGTTTTCGAGCGACTTGTTCTTAAGGTACGAGGAATCGTCACCAGTGGTTAGCGACAGCGAGAACTCGTCCACCAGACGCTCAAAGGACTTGGCTATCCGCCGCTCCCCGCCAGGTGAGTGGTGATGGGTGGCGATGGTGGTGGCGGGCAGATTGCGCAGCCTGAGGGAACTTGTTGCGTGCTGCACCGAACTGAGGGGCATTGCACTCGAACTGGGCGATGCTCTCGCAGAGCCGAAGGACACGGAGAGATTCTCCTTGTTCATCTCGAGCTTGAGCTCATCGTTGGCCAGCCGGTAGCTGTTGTTGCGCTTAAGGGCGGTGCGCGGCTGGCCGGGATTGCCAACGGGCAGGGAAAAGTGCAGCGCAATTGGGTCAATCGATAGGAGCTGGGTGGTGGGGGGTTTGTCATTTACTTTCGCCCTCGGCGGCAGGGGTGGCAAATGCTCCCACTGCCCCTTCCCCGCTTGAAACCCATCCCCCCGGGGGTTAGTTTCCATTTCAGCAACCCTCACTTTCGACTCGCCATCTTTGGGGTTCTGATTCTGATTCTGAGGCTGGGGATGCTGGGGCTGCTGCTCCCCCACACTTGACTTGCTGGCTATGTGCTGATGCTGGTTAAGGGTGCTCTTGCTCATAGCAGTGTTATTTACAAGGGAACAGGATGTGGATGTGGATGTGGCTGTGGATAAGGATACAGATATGGATACGGGTACGGAGGTGGGGCAGCTGCTGGCTGACGGGCGGAGCTGCTCTGGCTTACCTTCTTCACCGGAGTGGCCCGATGCCGATGAGGAGGAACTGGTGGCCGTGGAGCCCGTCGACGAGTTGGACTTGCCCGAGGGCGAGGGCATCATCATGAGACTGGCCACCGGTGCGGCAATGGTCTCGTAGAAGGGATTTGTGCGGTTGGCCAGCAGTTGCTTCTGCTCCTGGTAGCTGCTCCCGTTGGTGGCCTGGTAGGTGGCCATGCTGCCGTTTGTGTTCCTGCTGAGCGGCGATTTGGCCAGAATGGGTCTCACATTGGCCACCTTACGATTGCCAGCGATAAGTCCGCCGCCGCTGAGGAGCAATAGTTTGGCACTCTTGGTGACTGATCCTAATCCTGATCCTGCTACCGTATCCTGTGTCAATGATGATGATGATGCTGCCGCCGCCGCTGCACTTTCTGCACTGTGGAGCGCACTTTCGGTTTCCTTCACGTACGGCCCAGGTGCGAAGGTGGTGTGTGCGCCCTTGCGCCGCTTCAGACTGTCGGAGTCGTAGACCAGTTTCCCCTCGGCGTTCGGGCGCAATCGTCGGTTGGCCGATGACGATGACGATGCCGATGCCAAAGTGAGTGGCTTCTCCTCGCTCAGCTCGCCGATTTCCGCGTACATGGGCACCCCTTCGCCCTTTGTCCTACCCTCCAGGGATGGTTGGAGGGGTGGCTGGCTTGCAGCAGCAGCAGCAGCAGCTGCCAACTGTTGTTGTGCGCAGGACTCGCTCTCCGGCGGAGATCTCGACGAGACCGCATGCCGACGCAAGTGCTGGGGCAGCTCGTTCAGCGAAACGTACTCGGCGACAGTGGCAGGCGAGGGTTGAACCCTCTTGGAAACTATGTCACTGGAATAGTATATACCCATTCCAGTGTTTCGTCGGCTGTTATTGTTGTTCCTGTTGTTGTTATTGTTGTTGCTAATGTCGGCTATGGTGACGTACTCGCCGGCCAAATCGTACAGCTCGTCGTCATTCACGGCACTCGCATTGGCGGGCTTGGCCATCGTTTGAATTGGAATTTGAATTTGAGTCTGACTTTGGTTCT